CTCTCCCCCCCTTTTTACTATGTAGTTGTTGGTGTGTTCTGCGAGGTCATAATAAAGTTAGTTGTCTTATGATACAGATCGAGTACAACGATGAGGGATCAGAAGACTTGGTGGAGGCAGAAGTGAGAAACCTATTGGCCACTCCAACTCAAGTCGAGGAACATCTCCGACGGTAAGTTCCGCCTACTGATCCCTGGGGCTTAACTTCTCTCTTGTGTGCTTTGGGTTGTTTCATTATGTAGCCTTCAACAAGTCATTCAAACTAAAACTTTAAAACCCAAAAACCTATATATATATATATATATTGAGTACAAGTGAAAATTATATATGAATTTACATTAGTCTTTCCACCGGCTTAAAATATGAATTAAGATTTATATAAGATCGAGTATATAATAACAATTAAAACATGCATATCTGGGTTTTGTAGTGATGTGATGTTGTTTTCCATGCTTGCATTATACTCTTTCTGTTCTAAATATAAGACCTATTTTATAATATAATTTACATTATAAAATGAGTCTTATAGTTAAGACCGGAAGAATATAAAGATTACTTATTATTATTTTCCACATCCTTTGAGATGATATGCTCCATATGTAACATTTTCCCCTGTTTATGAAGTATATGTTCACAAATCTTTATTCTTTATTCCCTAATGAAAATTAAAATGAACATTCCGTTCACGACTAGTGATAATTAAGTCTGAATCCTCTTAAGTAAATGTCTTATGCGTAATGCTCTTTTTATGTCACCCTCAAGTATGTTACTGCCAAATCATCTCCCCAGTTTCCATCAATATTGTGATTTCTTCTGTGTGCGTGAGTGAGGAGAGGGGGGGGGGGGAGCACAGCTGGGGATATAGAGACCCAAGAACAAGAATGAACAATGATAAACCATTGAACCAAACCAAGAAGGTCGACCAAGTTTGTGATCAGTGTGCTGGTGGTGATCTGATAAGGCACTAAACGATGTTCACGTAAGTGGGTGAACAGTTCCCAGTGGCTCCATTTAGATTTGCCTCCTTCGTCGGTGACAACCGATAGTTAATAAGCAAGTAGCTAGCCGTTTTTTATTTCTAGATCTTGTGAGATTTTCTTGCCTGCTCTTATTTAAAGCTTTCTAATTCCAACTCGTTATGCCGTCACGACAATGATCCTATATATATACACGCATTCTAACCAGAAACGAGTAGGGAAAGAAATAGTAGACTCTCACTCTTTTTGTGCTACTCTTTAGCTCTAAATACGTAATGACTACTGTAGAAGATGTACCTCATGCTGTCTTTCTCCGTCCCACATTATTATAAGAAAATAATCTCCTACCTGAGGGGAAAAAAACCTAATATGCCAAACGTGTTATTTGAGCTTACCAAGGAATATCCTTTAATTACTTCAGATTACTCGGATAGGATAGATATCGATTATGCGCAAACTAAAATTTCTCGCGATTACATGCTTATATATACACGAAGATTTCCACTTGATTTTCTTGCATAATATTAATTATGAGAACCAGGGTTCAATATAACTGTGGTGGGGGGTTTGCAGATTGAGAGAAAGTGTGGATAATTACCAGAAGCAACAAGTTGCATCAGCAGAGGGACCATCAACTTCAAAAACCACACGCAAGGGAAGGGGCAAGTGTGCAAGCAAGGAAGGTGAAGGTGCTTATGTCCCTTTGTCCAAAAGAACCAGGAAGAAGGATCACTAGCTTTATTCCTGATCACATCATCAATGAGATCCCACCATATCCGCTAGCTTGCTATCTGGTTAGTAATCTTTCATTTCCATTCCGTGCGTACATCTTTGTAAAGCTTCCGTGTCGTCGTTCATCTGTGTGTGCGCGCATTGTGTTTTGGAGTGCATAGACTAGGTATAAAATTGGATCCAAAGAGCTATAAAGTAACATCGCATTTCTATATGTACAATTAACTTGTGAATATTTGTAGTGTAGAGATCGTCGGTGATTGGATCTACAGCGCTATATTGCATTTCCATACATATATACAGAATTAACTTCTCTAATTAGTTTCTGAAAAGTACTCATCCGTAACTATGATGTAATGTTTGCCATTCCTTTATTAATATGAACAATATGCTTCGAACCTAGTTGATATTTCCAGGATGGGGATTTGAGAGCTTGGAATATGTTCTTATACACTGGGTATATATCTGGGTTGGCAAATATACGAAAGGTCGAGATATACTATTGTCATACTCTTAATTAACATATCATATTGAGTATACTCATTATTATATATGTGTGGCTATATATATATATATATATATATATATATATTGCAGGTGCAGCTAGCTAGCTAGCGAACAAAGGAGGGGGAGGAAAGTACGCAGTGTCTGAGTTGCTGATTGATTAGGTCCTGTTTCAAGACTTCATGTGTCATCCATGTTGTTTAGACAAGTACTAAATCTGAAATGTTGTTTCTGATCTGTTTATTAATAATTAGTAGCTTCCCGTTTGTAAGACATCGTCTTTCCTTAGTCTCCTTGGATATGGTTTGAACTTTAAAGAGTCAGTGGTGTCACCTTTCGTTCGTCTGAAACTTCAAATAAGTCCGTATGCTTTGGACATAATAAAGTCTGCTTGCCAGTTATTTTTACCGTTGTTAAAAAGCCGCGCCTGATTTTGACTCCCTGAATTCTTATTCGTTTACTTTCTTAATCCTTTTCTTAAGACACTGTTTAACGAAATTTCTAAACTCATACTCCTCTGGTCCTTATTATAAGATCCAATTTGACTTTTTATTTGGTCCTAATTATAAGACCCAATCCATTTTTTCTCTTATATTTATGCATTTTTTTCCAAGATAATCCTTCTAATAATGATAGTTTTAGCCAATATACTTAATTAGCAAGGATATTTTAAGAATAACAACACTTATTTATTATAAATAACCAACTTAACTTACTTCCTTAATCTCCTCAAATAAGTCAATTGGGTCTTATAATAAGGACCGGAGGAGTACAAAATACTCTTTCAATGTTTATTTATCATGGAAATGACTGCTATTTGTTTGATATTTAAACATACAAATTATGCATTCATTTATTTCGTTTCACTTTACTTTTTATTGTTCTTCAATTACGTACATTCTATTCAGGCCAAAAAAAAAAAAAATTACGTACATTCTATAGCTCCGCCCCCATGCGCCACTATCTTAGTTGACTATATATGAACAAATTTTGTATGCCCATATTCATCTTATACTATTTTCGTCCTTAATATAAGACATAACTAACAAATTTGGGAAGATTAAAAAATTAGTTAAACTAGTTATTTATAATAAATAGGTATTTTATTTTTTAGAATACCCTTACTTATCATGTGTATTAACTAAAACAATTATGTTATGAAATATGTGCAACCATTGCAAGGACTATTTTGAAAAAATGGACAAATATAAAAGACAGAGTGAATTGGAGTCTTATATTTAGGATCAAATTAAAAATCAAACTAGTTTTTATATTAAAAATTGAAGGTAGTATTACGATTTAACGGCTCATAAAAGTTGGTACATGTATGCTACGTTAATTACTATAAATAAAAGTAATTTTGAACGCGCACTGCTCCATTAGGAGGGGGAAAAAACAGTTTTGATATCAAATAATACATCTACTCTATATAGCTTTTTCAAGCCTACTTTGTTTTCAATCATCTTTTTATAAACATACCTTATATGCGTATATATATAATATTCGAAATCGGTAACACACATGCACTGTTGGAATATTAGATTTATGAGTTAGTATTAGCTATTAAATGTTTTGTTAAAAAGGGAGGACTTGTATGTTTGGTAAGATTGGTCACCATTTCATGAGGAAGAGAGATCAATTAGGTTGTCACAACGTCACCTTATGCAAAATGCCCTTCGAAAGGAGGGATTGCCATGATGTCTCCACAGTTCCGCCTTTTAAGTGTTTGCCAATATTTAATGTTTGTGTTTTCCAGATTTGATTCTTCCTTTGTCTAAAATATTACCACCTCTGGTCTTAATTATAAGATCTTATTTGTACACTATAAACGAGGTCTAATAATTAGGACAAGAGATAGTAATTTGTTCTCGTGTTTCTCAACAAGTTAAACACTCTTCTAACAAAAACTAAATAACCACGTTTATAATTAATGAAATTCATTGAAAGAAGTTTTAAAATTTTTAAAGCATTAATAAGTTTTCACTTTTCAATGAATTATCTGATGTAAGCAAAATGATTAATATAATTGTCCCAAAAAATGATCCTGCCAGTGGGTTGGGCCTGTCTGTATCCAGATCCATACGTTCTGCGGTCAGGAAGGCTGAGTAGGTCCATTCATAAATAGTGCATTTTATTAAAATATATTATTAAAAATTAATATCCGTTATACTATTATATATTTCAAATAATACTTAATATATTATAACAGCTTGCAATCTATTGTTCCGGTAGATCTATACATCCCCATGGAAATTTACTACTTTCTTTCAATATTTATATTTTCATTGAAATTTTATAACTCTAATTTAAATTTTGATCCCTTTATATATATAATTACTCCTCCGATCTTTAAGACTTAATGGTTAAGTTAATTTTGGTCATAAATATAAGGTCTATTTTTTTATTTTTATCAATTTTTTTTAAATTACTCTTATAGATACTCCTTCAATCACAGTCAAGTAAGTGAGGAAGAAAGGATATTAAAAAAGATGATTATGATGTTTTAGAAAAAATATGTCTTATTTTTTATAATTAACTAACTTACCTAACTTCTTTATTATAATCAAATTAGTTACATAGGTCTTATATTTGTCCCGTCTTAAATATAATATTTTTTTTATAGTGTAATTTATAGGGTCTTGTGTTTAGGATTGGAGAAGAATTCACTGTTAAGCATCGGATAAGCATTACTCCACCAGTAATCAGTAATTCACAGGAAGCACTCTGACCAAAAAAACAAAAAGAAGTAATTCACAGGAAGTACTGTTTCTCGGCGAGAATGGGCTCCCCTTAACATTACAGCTGTTCGGACTCGGTAATTTTATATACCTCGTCACTGACGAACTCGCCTGGATCGATCCACTTCCATCTGTTCGACGCCAACGCTCTGAATCCTAACATTTGGTATGCTCTTACCCAATTTATTTATGCGCCCAAACTGCTCGCTTTATGTAATCTCTAAATACTGTATTTGATAATCGATGTATTTGTTCTATGATGTTGTAATCAGTAGATGGAGCCTGCCTTTATGTTTGATTCATAGTCGATGGGGTATTTCGCGTAATATGAATTTAATTTTACATAGTTGAACTCATTCTTGATGGCTAAGCATTTGATCAAGTGATGTTTTGATCATAGATCTCCGGTCGCGTCTGTGTCTGTCTTTATCCTGGTAGGAGTTTGTCCCAGAATGAATCCTTCTGAGTACCAACCCAGATCAAGTCAATTACTTTTTTGAAAGAGAAAAAGAAATTCAACGCTCCTGTTTCTTTCCTTCTTTGAAGTATCATTGCGATTTCTTCTTCAAATTATATCTTTCTTTGAGTGTTTGTTTCTGGGTTTTCCCTTGATATCTGTGAACCCCACTTAAATCACAAGACTCAGGAACTTTTCTGTCTAAAGTAATGTCAAATGTTCTTTAATTTGTTGATTTATGAGAATTATATGGTTTATATAATTGTTAAGAGATAGAGGGAACAATGAAAACGCTTATTGGCGCCGTATTTATTTTAGTTGTACAACTGGTTTCAAGTAGATGTTTATTCCATTTACATTTTTTAAATTTGTGCTTGCATATAGAAATCAAATTCATGTGTTTCATTTTATGGTTACACAATCTGTATTCTGAATGTTCGTGGCTAATTAACATATGGTCTCTCTTCCTTTTTCTGTTTTGCCTTCCTTTATCTAGTTCAGCACCATTTTCATACTAATGGCCAACAGAGTTCAAATTCCTTCGAGAAATTCCGCACTCATTGCAATGATTGCAGATGAGGTGAGAACTCCGCATTTGCTACTCATGCTTGGGGGGGTGTCTTGTAGAGCATAAGTGCTTGCTTATATTGGCGTGGTTTTGAGACATTTCTGTGACGTATGAAGGGTTTAATAGTTCGTGTGGCGTTTTATCCATTTGCTCCTAGCTTCAGTGGTTGCGTGGGTGGGACTTGAATAAGATCCCCTCAGGATCAAGCTGTAGAATTTCCTAATGTATCAAAAATCAGTGAGTCTTCAAAATCAATTTGTAAGATGGTGAATGGCAAATGACAAATGGCGATGTGAGAAAATACCATTAAAACTGATGAGTCCATTTTTGTTCATGAACTTTGATTTAGATAACCTCATAATTTCTTTTAAATTTTGTGTTGATTGTCTATATTTATCACCGTTGAAGCTAATGTTATTTCAATTCTACGACATCTGAAGAGGAAATATTTTTCGATATTTTGTATATGACTGTATGGTACGTAAATAATCGTGTATCATCCTAGACTAATTAAAAAATCGTTGATATGTTCTATAAATTCTCCATTGTGTTGTTTTATTTCTGATCCAAGTCATGTTTTTCTTACAAATGTTTAAAACATACGGAACTCTTACAACTAGTGAATTGAATTTAACCCAGGACACTGTTGTTGGATTTTTGCTGGCTGGGGTGGGCAATGTCGACTTGCGTAGGAAGACAAACTACCTTATTGTGGACTCAAGTATGCTTCTGCAATTTGGATCTCTCTAAGCACAACTTATTTCATCTTGTTATGCAGCAATTCTTTCCAAAAATAATGTTAGGACAATGGAATAACTCCATCTTATCTCAAATATCGTATTGACTCTCTCTCTCTCTCTCTCACACGCACACGCATGTACATGCACAGCACAATTCTTTAAATGATTTGAAAGATATTGAAGATGTCAATTGTCAAAGGTTCAGTCATATGCCATGCGTTGATCCATGATAAATTTCTAGACGTCCTTTCACTTTCATTGCAATGCTGATTATCCGTTGAGTAGCAGTCCCTGGAAGTAAATGGTTTGATAAAATGGGAACCAAGCGGTTTGCAGGAGATTGCATATTTGCATGATGGTGCTAGCTGCTGTTGTCATTTGTTTTAATGTCTAACTAGATGGGCCCTGTGCATTGCTCAGCATATGAAAAATGACCTATATTATTCACGCCTTATAAATAGTGTAATTTGCTATAGATTTTGTATTTTATATTGATATATTGATCTGAACATTTGTTGAATATGCTCATGTTTTATACCTTGTGTTGCCTTTGTAGAAACCACCGTCAAGCAAATAGAAGATGCATTCAAAGAGTTCACAACAAGGGAGGATATTGCAGTTGTGCTGATTAGCCAATATGTAAGGTTTTTTTGTACCATAGGACTTTTACATTATTACCAAAAGAAGTTGCTAAGGGTATTAAGCATTTATAGTCTTGCTAAAACTTATTGATTGCCCATTTTGCTGAAGCAAACATGTTGAGCATATTGCTGGATGCCAAAGGTCCTAACCTATCATGGCTAAGAAAAAGGTCCTGAGCGGATGGTGTATAGTTATGTTTCAATGGTATACTGATCTCATTACATGTTGAGTAACCTCTGCCTAAAGCATTCTTATTCATACTATAGGTTTCGCCTCCTCTGCAATATAGCATTATTTTGAGCTGAAGTTTCTGATTCATTTAGCATCGCAGATATTATGCTCTTATATCATGTGAACTTTTCGTATATATGATCTGGTGCAACTAATATATGTTAAGTCTGTCCCATGCTACTGACCACTGACCTCATTCATGAGCATTCAATGGAGTTGCGTTTCATGCAGTCTAATCTTGGAATTTCGTTACTATGATTTACAATGAATTTCTGTTCTCCATACGCTTATAATTTTTGGTGTCATATGGAGGATCTAATGCCCTATCATCAATTAACCAGGTTGCAAACATGATAAGGTTTTTAGTTGATAGCTACAACAAGCCTGTTCCGGCGATATTGGAGATTCCTTCTAAAGACCATCCTTATGATCCCGCGCATGATTCAGTTCTTTCTCGTGTGAAGTATTTATTCTCTGCTGAATCTGTGGCGTCTGGGAGACGTTAGGCATCTACCTCCTGTTAGAAACATTTTGTTTGGAATGATTGTTTCAAACTCAGTAATTTTATGCATGTTCCTGTTTGCTGTACATTTAGGACTTCACTCCATAGCCTCGTGAGTAAATTCCAGCCTTGTGTTGATTACTTGATCTCTTAATAAGCAAAATGGCTGGATGATCAGTTCATTTTCTTTTCTTTTCCTTTTTAAGGTAATAGATCGATTCATTTTCTTTTCTTCTCAAGTCAGTGTACTGCCTTACCAGGAGCTGTGCTAGGAGAAGTATTTGTTTGAGCTTGATGTTATCCTTTGCAATAAACGCACTTGTGCGATTGAAAAAAGAGTTAGAAGGTCAAGATGGAATCTACTCTCTCACACATCTACTGCACAAAGTACTGCACGCATTAGATGATTCATTTCGGTTTCTGGGTCAACCTTGCTTTCTTATTTTCTCAAACACATTTTGCTTTTATTGGTACCATTGATGCATGCACTTTTCAAACACCTTTCCTCGTGGAAATTTTTTATTTTTCCCGGGGCATTACCTAACGATCATATATGGAGCAGCTTCATCTCTCTCGCTGTCCAATGCGCCTGGGGAGTTTTTTCCTCCCTCCCATATTTCACGATAGCTGACCAAATACCTTTCCCTTCAATATTCTGCACCTATATAAGCTCGTGACTTCCAAATGTGCCCTAATGTATCTATGATTCAGACTCCAGAGCGTTAAACCCGTCAGCCTTAAAGGATGTGTTTGGTTCGAAAGAGGCGCGGGGAAGATTTCAATTTTTAATGGAGGAGAGAGAAAGAGAGTTAATATTAAGTCGACTGTTATGGTGGTATCAAATGAGTTTTTCTTTTTCCTTTTTCGCTTTTTGCAGGAATAGAAAGTCATATTACACAATATCAATTTCTTATTTTAAAAAGTCAACTTTTCATTTTAAAAATCTTAAAATTTTCACCCTGCATATAGCACAAATCTTGTGTAGTTTTAAAATTTTCCATTCTGAAAAAAATAATTTTACATTTCTAGGATGAGGGTGCTTGCTAAAGGTTGAGAGGGTACCAAAACTGTAAATGATAAAGAGGTGTGATTCTAAAATTTAATCAAAGTAAAAATGCTTTTGAAATTTTAGAAATTTTATCTGATTAATTTAGTCTTACAAGATTTATCCACATCCTTTCCTCCAAAGGAAACGCAGGGTAGGAGGGGAGGAGGACTAAAAAATTAAAGCAGTAGGGCATTTCTCGTCCTAACGAGAGGAAGAAAAGCAAATCCTATTCCTTTCCCTTCAAAGCCCCCAAAAAACAGATAGAAAATGACCATGTGAAGTTCTGGAATGAGAGTAAAGTTGCTATCAATTGTCGCCAAAGAAAAGTTGCTATTAAGTTGTGACACCGCTTAAAAAATATAACATATTACTAAGCATTCAAGGAATCAAAATGAACACATTGGTTCGTGGCCTTACTATATCCATCAAAGCCTTCAATCATCTTCCTTTAAAAGTAGTCTGTTTCACCACCATTTCATTCTTTGAAAACTATTCTGAGCGCCAAATGAGTAAAAACAGTGTCCGAAATTCAACGGTCAGCTTGAAAAAAGGGAGACAATATATATGTGTGCAATAAAATGTAGATTACTTATTGTGTCAAAGGTAGTTCAATGAGATGGAACACTAGGGAAAACAGTTGGGGGTACTACAGAAGTGTGAAGAGGATATGAATCTTATTCATTCAAGTTCATCAACTAGTTTTCAAGGAAGTGCAGATTTTAACGACTTGGTGAAGTTTTCTAATTCTCTCAACCCATCCTGGGGAGATTTGGCCTCACCAAGCAACTTCACCATAGCACTGCCAACAATCACCCCATCAGCTCCCCATCCCGCTATCTGCATCAAATCAAATTACATGATTCAGTATCAAGTAACTGCGTCAAGATAGAAGCACCAAAAGTTATGGGCAAAGAACAAACCAGTTTCGCATGCTCTGGTTTTGATATCCCAAAACCAACTGCCACGGGCTTTGTTGTCGTCTGATAAGAAATGAGGTAATCAACAAAGGGTTTAATCATGATGGAGAATGCTAACAATGTGACCATGGTGTGCAGGCTATTAAATATTCACCCAGTCTCATGGTAGCCGATTGTTATCAATCATACATGATCAATTGCCAGCACAAGAAAGTTCCAACCAAAGAGATGACAGGCTAAGAGCAGGTTAAAAGATTGACAAGAATTTTTCAAAGTATTCAGAAGACTTTCATAGCAAAACATGGCTTCAAGGGGGGGGGGCTCTACTTCAGAAAAAAGACTTTTACTTTAAATGAAAGAACTAAGACAAAGATTAAATAGACAAACCTCTTTAATTTCACGCAAAAGAGCCTGAACCTTATCACTCACTGATGCTCGAGTTCCAGTGACTCCTACTGAACTCACCTATATTGCAGATCAGGAAATGGTCTATGAATCATGATGTTTCATAGGCATAATATCACCAAATTGCAAGACATTTTCTGTTTTTACTGTTTCTGCATCACATTTTCAATATTTTGGGATAAAAGGCAATTAGATATTGCTGTCGCTCTGCTAAAGTCAAACAGAAGATGATTAGACAGAATTTAAAAGTGAAGAGAACATCACGACAGGTTTCTTGATATTGGCGATGCACTTTTTCCACTTCTGATGGCCACTAATTGACCCACCAACCCTCAATTCTTTTGCTTATCTTTTTAACTAACGAAACCAGGTGATTCTTTTGTGTTGTATTCCTTCCTCTTGAGGATCAACTGGATCGTTCATTCTTCTTTAACAGCTAATTACAATAGTACATTATTCAAATAGGAGAAATCCAAACTTGGGACCAAGTTGTCCGCAGTTTAAGGCCCAAGTTGAGGGCAAGGCCTCAAACATAAGACCATAGATAAAGCACCTGGTTACCATACTTGCGCCCCATGCATGCAGAAAAGTAATAAATACATAATAGCAAAGGAATTTGCATTTCATTCTGCTATATTATGTCCTTTAGTTTGTCAATTATGCAAAATTCAATTTAGAGGGGGTGGGGACTCAGAAGGTGCAAAGTTATAGTGACCAGGGGAGAAACCCCCCCCCCCCCGGGGGGGGAAGAGCTACAATGTTTGAAAGTTGAAACAGATTCTTACAAGATAAATAAATCCCTCTGCAGCTTCAACAATGGCTTTCATCCGGTCCGTTGGAGTAGTGGGTGTTGTGAGGAGTACCTTTAATCACATCACAGAAACAAGCTTTAAGCAACAACACTGACTAACAAATTTAACACATATATTGCAAAATGTAGAATCTAAAACTTAGAACCGGAGCTGATCACAATAAGCATTTCATTGTTCCACTTCATAAATTCATATTACAAACTACAATAAAAAATACGTTTAAAACTGCGTCTCTAAAATTATGACCAACGATTAAATATGTAGGACAGCTAATCAAGAATTCAGGAACAAAGTGAGCCAGCATTTTAAAGGTAGACAAACCAATTCAATCCCATGCTTCTTAGCTTCCATCCTCAAAGCTGTTGTCTCCTCCAGGGGAACATCAGGAACCACAAGCCCTGAAAAGATAGGGAAAATTATTATAATATTCAAATACCTAAATTGGAAGGAAACAAAGAAAATGATGCTTTTGTTCGGGAAAATGCCAAAAAGATCCCTTGAAATTTTGGTTCACTTGCAAACGGTCTCCTCGACTTTCAATGTTAGGTCCTAGCAGTTACACATTCCAGTAAATAAATCTTTCCCTGATTCTTTGGGATTTTTTCCCCTCATTGATGTTATCTCACTTTCCACCCATGGTAGCATAGTAATATGTAGATTGTGGGATTCTCTGATATCGCAACTAAACTAACATCAGCAAGTGAAAAATAGTAATACATTGAAGGACCCAGTTGCCGAAATATGAAAGTTAAAGAATCTAATTGCCAGTTCAGAAAGTTTAAGTTTGAGGGACTATTTGCATGTGGTCCAAAGTTCAATAGGTTTTTTTACAATTTTTTTTCCTTTTCATTTCCTAGGCAACTTTTTATGTTGACCTCATATAGCAATTCAAACCAGGACAAGGTAGGAAAGTGCTGGAATTTTTCTATTTTATCCTCCAGAAATCAGAATCAGGAATCTAATTAGACTCGTACACTGAATCATGCGCAGATTACAAAAATCCCGCATCTCCACAATTTTGGCGTACTAAAATAATGAAGGATGTCTTTTAAGGCTTAAGGTAATATGCTACCTCTCTTTAAAATTCAATTTTAAGTGTAGCACGTGAAATAGGAGATCGGAACTGCTTTCTTGATCTCGTTTATGGTTTCTATCACATTATTCGGCATAAGGGTCCCTAAATAAGCGGGCTAATCAGAATGATATAACGAACTTCAGGCAATTATTGACGACTTACCATGGACACCAACGTTGCTAATAGTGGACATAAATCTCCCAGTGCCACGCTTGAGTATTGGGTTGTAATAAGTAAACAGTGCAATTGGACAAGACAACTGTGGAACAACCTGTCAAATTAACAATTCAGGATAGTCATTAGAACATGAATCTAAAACTAATTTGACCTGAGCAAGCAGTCGCTGGAGATTTCTCAGATATCCCCATCCTTTGGAGTAATTGTTTTAAAGACTATGGATGTGTGTGCAAGTTTTTTTTTTCAAAAATACACACACACACACACAGAAGAGAGAGAGAGATATCCCGTCAAAGGTTCAAATTGGTCAGGTACTCTATGGTTTCATACTTTTGTGTTCAACTAGGATGGCCAAAATAATATGCATGTATGCAATTTAGCAGCAAATTCTTGTCCATAACCATATTCCCTAGATACCATTAAGTCTAATTGCATCTTCTTCCCCTTCAAGACACAGTACAGGATCCAATCACGGGTTCATGACAACTTTTGAGTGTTTGCACAGCCACCTTATCAGTGAAAAGTGAAAAATAAAAAGAGTAAAGAAAATTTATAAAGAGTAGCAGGAGAGCAATTGAAAATAGGTTGAGGTTAATATTTAATGAATAGCAAGAAATTTCAACAGTTTTACCTCCTTCAGCATGGATATAATTGCATCTAAATTGGTACCCCTTCCCAAGGAACGGGTAGCAGCAGCCTGAATAGAAAGACTCATCAATATGAGAATTGGACATTACATGTCACCAAAGCGCATAAAAACCTTCAAACCTGGATAACAGGACCATCTGCCAAAGGATCAGAGTATGGAACTCCTAGCTCAATTATGTCAGAGCCACATGAATCAAGCACCTTCAGTGCTTCTGCAGTGGTTGAAAGGTCAGGATCACCAGCAGTGATGTATGGGATAAAAGCCACCTTGACACAAAAAGACTTCTTAGAGGAGCAAAATCATTTGCAATTCGAAAACAAAAAGATTTAAAACATATAGAATCAAATGCAATATTTTATTTAAGGTGGTCAAAGTGTCAGTGTTGAAAATGGTCAACAAAGTAATCTAGTTCCCATTTAAGCTGCAGACTAAGAAATGATACTAAAATATTCAAAAGTAAGTGAATTAGCGTAGACCAAACAATTTTATGATCTGCTTATTCTCATTGTGAATAAATGTGCATAAAATTAGCCGTTTGCTTTTACTAGTTTGGTACTTAGTAATATTCATCCATGCGCACAAAATATTATAACATCTTAAGGGAATCAGCAATCTACATGACCATGGTATAACTTTAAACTCCAGAATTCTTTCATCCGCAGTCACAAATTTATGCTACTCCAACATCTAGTTGACCATTTCTTGAAAACCAAATACCAAAAAGATCAGTTCATGTTCCACCGTCTTCAAAATAACTCTGAAAAGATTCCAATACAGAAAACGAGTATGCATGATTCGTGCATTGCAGGAAGAATGCTATGTGGATGAGGGGGGAAAAACAACAGGTCCAAATATATTGAGCTAAAAACATAGTCAGAAAGAATAAGTGTACAATTAACTCTGGGAGCATTCTACATCCTAAAGTGCTCAACTAAAATCTCTTCACGATAAAGGCAAAATAGGCAATCAATATACGAAAGTAATCAACAACTGAGCACATTAAGGAACAAGTTGATAATCCAGTATTATTCAAGCTGAATTGTGACATAAAGGAAATAAAAAGCTTATGATTCGCAGCAGCAACAGAAAAAAGTCCTTACTTTTCCTTCTCTTTTCAGTCTATTGAATGTTTCGGAAATCCCAACAGATTTTGTGGTGCTGATAGCAGCCATTGTAGTGTATCTTCTAAGTGATACAATAGGTTTCTTGGAGGGGTAAAAAGTATGGAAATCGACCTCGCACTTCTTCAGTTGCAGGAAACTAGATGTCAGCGCAATAGCCATAAAGAAGGGTCGTCTGTCACTGAGTGATTTACAAATGAGTTTAAGCAGAAGATTAGTTCGATTAAGAGTTCAATAATGTAATATTACTCAAGATGAGAATGTAAACTTCTTTATGGGAATAAAAATATCAATGTCAGTCTCCTGAACAAACAAGCCATGACTCCCCCACGGATATGAAGGACCCGTCTGGTTGGGCGAAATTTTGGCGCCGGAAATGGCAATTAGCCTCCTTTCACCTGCACGCCCATTTGACCGCACAGAGGGAGAGCACAGTGCCTCATCGAGCTCTCAAACCACAGCCACCTCCGACGTCGATTCCCTCATCACCATCAGATCCCAGTCGACGACGACGTTGCTGCACTGAACTCTCTCACCTCCGACAATCAGCCAAATGAAGGGCATTCGTAAACCCCGAATAATATGTGCGTGAAAAACTTCCTACCATCCATACTTACTCGAATAGGAGAAGGATAAACGAAAACTAAATTTGAGGCTATTGATCGATTTATCAGCATTGGGCATTCAGGGAAAACAGAGACAACCCACCTATGAGATGTTAGAAATGAGGCCGAAAGCAAGATCCGTCTGGCCCTTCCACCGGAGGCGAGCTCACTCAACCTAAAAGTGAATAAAAAACAGTTCTTTCCACTCCCAGTGAAACAGTAGATGGAGTGAGACGTCCAAGCGGATTTGTTGCTCTTTTCGGCGGATATGCGAGGTTAATGATCGGTAATCGATAACTCCACCAAACGGTCCGCTTACGACGGGTGTGAAACACGTGCGGACGCTGCGCTCCTTGAGTTGCATCTATAATTTTTGCAAAAATATATATTTTAAATTTAATATATTTAGCTAAACTTATTTGTTGGGACTTGGGAGAATGAATCTGAAAATTGAATCTGTCAACTTCGACAGCTTAATCATTGTATTCTGGTTAAAAAAATCTACGTGTGCAGCATTTTAGTTTCTGGCCTTGATATTAAAATTCGTCTTAAATATAATATTTTAATAATTAAATATGAGTTACATTAAGAAAATTTTGGTGAAGGAAAGTTTTCAAATTAAAGAATTAAAAATAATACTTTAGGATATGCATATTTAATTTAGCTAATTTTCTCCTATGTTATTAAGAAATTAAGCCTGTATTTTTCTTTTTTTTGACAATGCTGAATGTATTATCTTCATCTTTCAAATCCCCTACTCTGATATTTATCTCCGATCCTAAAAATATTCTTACCATCTCAAACATCTTAAGAAAGTATTTTGTATTCTTAATCTTGTGAAAAGAACCCAATATCTCATCTTAATAAACCCAACCAATTAACCACATGACTTGAGGATAATATGTAAGATTAATCATTAAATGACTCGAGTAAATAGACGAATAATTGCATAATATTACAAGATACAATGTACAATGGACAAAGAAAATATTTTAAAACATACCCTGTATTTAGAACCAAAATCTAGATTTCTTGCCCTTTCTACCTCTCTTATCTTCTTTTTGGACCATGAGTTTATTTTGCACAAAAATTTTAGACAGGTTCAGGTTTAATCCAAGCAAAAGGCAGAATGCTTGAACAGTTTTTTTTTTAAGTGATATCCATGTTCCGCAGGACAAACCTGTATTATACCTTTAAGCGTTAATCTAAATATCCTCATTCTATGATGCCTTCCTAAGCCTCGTAATAGGGACCTGAGTCCCCTCCCTTTTAAGTAAGTGAGTGCAGTTTTTACTGCTAAATTTACGAATAATGGATTGGGCTACGAGTTTCTAACTCTGTTATCCTATAACAAGACGTCTGAAAATTATAACATCTTACACCAATGGTACCCCCAGCCCAACCCCCGCCCACCAAAAAAAAGAAAGACTGGGTTGATGTATAAGTCCAATACCAATTTATTTCTTATAGTTTTTTGTCCGGATTTAATTTTTATAGCTAACTAACTGTTATTGATTTTTCTATCCCTTCATGAAAATTTGAATGTTTTGCAAAATATTTTTAAAGATTTGATCCCAAAACATCACAATCATCCTATAAGGCTTAGCATTGTTTGTTTTAACACTGCTCCATCATACTTAATTAAAAATGTGATTTATATTGGTTTAATCTAACACCCTGTGACTAACCAGCCACCAATTATGAGCTAGGTGGTGCAGGCTAGCATTTAACCCACACAAGCAGCACTGGCTATTATTGTTGAGTTAGAAAGCTTAAAAAATTGCTGGTTTAATGACTCCCGCGTGAATATCACTCACATTTAATAGAAGTCATGGGTTGGATGTTATTTGTGCATGCTCGTGAGATTCTATAATGTACATGGGTACAAGAAAGAGTTTCTTCTATTTAGGGGTGTTTAGATAGAAACCAAACCATAGTTTCAGAAATGTTTTTACGAATTACGAAATAAATATGTGGAGAAGGTTACCTCATTTTACAGAAAAGTGCATCTGAAACCGCGATTTTGAGAATGTCAAATACCCTATTAAACTTGCAAATTACCTGCAAGTCTGCAAGTCTAGTTGCCAGAAAGGAAGAGAAAAAGGGACATGCCCGAGAGAACGAAAAGCGATGGGTGGACACGTAAATCACTCAAAATGAAGCCCCTTTTAGACAAAGGGGGAAGTTTTCTGTTGGCACAAAGGGGCAAAATTTTTTAACCAAGGTCCAAAGATAAAGCCACTACTCTAGGCCCCGTCTCTTAGCTTAGCTTCCACAGAGAGAACTGTCTTCTCCTGAGTAGAGAAAAAGCAGAACTAGGAACAAAGCACAGCTCTAGGCTGCAGGAATTCTCTCTCCTTCATGTAGATAGGAATTGGTTCCTCTACGCGTTTTCTCAACTCGACTCAACTCGCTCCAGTCCGAACTCATGGCAAATAATCCTTCCGACGCCCCCGCCGACGACTTCCTCGAGCAAATCCTTGGGCTCCCAACTTTTGCTTCTGCCGACTCCGGCTTAGCCGGTACGGCTGCTCCGCCCCCGATGATGCTGCAGCTCAACTCCGGCGACGGCACCGACCACCTCACTTCTGTTGGCGCTGGCGCCGGTAGTGGTGCCTTTCATGCACCGGTGTATCAGCTAGGCCTGAGCTTGGAGCAAGGGAAAGGAGGTTTTTTGAAGCCCGAGGAGCCTTCTGGAAGTGGGAAGCGATTTCGCGAAGATATCGTTGATAATAGAGCGAAGAATGTAAGACAAGTGTTATTGCTTTTTTCTTGTTTCCGTGTGTGTGGTCAGCATCCGCTGAAATGAATGAACTGATATTCACAAAAAGAATATTGATAGATGCTTTATTTCTCGATTTTGGGTTATGATCGTCAATTGAAAGCAAGCATAGCGGTTCAATGGTTTATGTTTTTGTTTCAGTGAGAAATAGTCTGTGGTATATATTTAGTTTGTTAAACAAATTATTCCCTACTCCCTCCTTCTTCTTTTCATCTCTATCGATGTATTCATGAGAAGACTCATAGTTAAGTTTCTATGACGCTGTTATGTGGCGGCAATAGTTTTGTTCTGTAATGAAATAAACTGGTGTTTTGTTCGGTCCAGTCAAATCTCATATTTGTTCAATAGCTGACATGACAGGGATGAAAATATAAGGTTTTTAAGCATTTAATCGTAAGAGCTCGAATTCTGATTATTGAACCGTGTTAGATTCATTTTTTTTAGTGAGGAAGAAATAATAGCATTTGACTGATGTTTAATGATGGAATTGCTGGATGGCCGGTATCTAATGCTATAATACAATCTGATGCAAATGTAAGTGGGAAGGGAGACGTAATTAAGTGAACCTATTTTTAGTGTTCAGCAATGTTTTGTCACTTGGGCATGTTATGCCACTACCATTGTGGCCCCGTAACTTAGCCTATACGGTGCAGAGAAAGCATTGGATGATTTAGCAAAATGAGACCCATGCATTAGTAAGGTTTGTCCCCCTTTGCAATAGCCGAATCTCAGAGATGAGATTGAATTGGCTGGCATATTAAAAGATCTATTGCTCGTGTCTTTGCTGTTGCCAACTGGATATAGGTTGTAGGCATTAAAGATAGTTCTCATCAGATTGCCATGCCTGGAGTGGATTTTTGTTCCTCGAGGACTTGGAGTTCAGCTATTAGAAATAGAACAATTTATTAAACTTGAAGTTTAAGGTCAGTTCTGGACTGTTAAAGACCAGAGGTCAACCTTTGCCACTTATAGCTATAGCCATATGACATTGTTTCCGTGGAGTGGTTTAAACGGTGCAGGATTATGGCACATTAGAAGATTGGGTTACTTTGGCACTTGAATTTCTGCTTGTTGTCTATTTCCTAGGATCTTTGAACCTGTTGATCATATAGGAGATTACTTGATTTTGAATAACCCGTAGATAAAAGTTTTTGGTTTTATGGCGAGAATCAAATTTTTGATAATTGTTCTTGGTCATCCCCCCTTTGGGAGGGAGTGGGGGACTTGGTGATCAAATAACTTTTTATTGGTCCTGATGATAGATAATTCTTTTGCAGGTTTTTCATGGCCAACCCTTGCCTACTACTATTCCTGCAGCTCCACATCCACCATCAATGCGTCCAAGAGTCCGAGCTAGAAGAGGACAAGCTACAGATCCACACAGTATAGCTGAGCGGGTGAGCTTCAGAATATTTACATGAATCAAGACTGTCTGCTTGCTGTGCTCTTTAAAATCAAAGATGGGCATAAACTGTTGAAAATTATAGCTAATTCCTTGATTATGCTCATGTTTCCTGACTCTTCATTTCACCTTTGGATAACAGTTGCGCAGAGAAAGAATAGCAGAAAGAATCAGAGCTTTGCAGGAACTTGTTCCTAGTGTCAATAAGGTATTGGCTTCTACATGCCTACATGACATTTTATTAGCAAACTTGGTTTTGTGTTTGTTTGATCGAGTGGAGTTTTGCATGTAAATAGTAGAAAACTCAGGGTTTCCTTTTTCTGTTTCATTTTTGACCTGAAAAGTTGGAGAATGGATAAGGATTAGTTGGATAAAAATCACGGAGATGTATCTAATATCCACTTGACTTATAACCAATTTGTGAATATCTAGCACTATATCCCCAGCAACAAAACTGAGCTTACCTGTCAATTACAATAAAAGAAGAAAGCAGTGCTGAAAATATAACAGCTAGAGGGCGCATTTGATTTGTTGGTTGTTAATGATTTATTGCGTATTTGTTTCGGGCACAACCATCTCCTTTTCTCCACCAAGCTTGTTGTCTTTCTTTTTCAGTATGAGTTTAATAAAGTAGATGCCATTGTTTAAAAAAAGAGTGAATTTTGGACATTGCTTGACACAAAGCTTGCAGGAATGCAAGGGCAACTTAAAATGTTAATATATTGATTTTTTATGTCTTTTATCTTTATTCTTTTTGTAAAGCAAGGATAGATTACTCGGTAAAAGAAATATGCAATATCAACAACAACAGCAACAAATATCAAGGAAGGAGTTTTAATTGATATTCTAGTCTTTCCTTTCAAGTATTAGATGTGAAGAATTTTTTTTTTTTTTGGTTCTACTGAAATTCCTGACATAACTATTGTTATAATTGAAAAATGGTGGAGTGATTACCGATCTTTAAGGCTTGCCTGTGTGGTGGTCTATGTTTCTCTACATTATGGTCAAGTAGCGTTTCGTAAGAAAATAATTTTCAGGATTTCATTGACTGTAATATTGTTCTGCATTTGTGCTCTAATCAGACAGATAGAGCTGCCATGCTAGATGAAATTGTGGATTATGTCAAGTTCTTGAGGCTTCAAGTTAAGGTAGATGCTCCTGTGCTCCTCCTCTTGTATTTTATATGATCTTAATATTATCCAAAACACCTGGCCTTTCTGTATAGGGGACAACAGCTTTTAATATGATTTCATGGTTTCACCTGTTACACAAGTTGCTTAATCAATGCATTACGATTCCTCTCATTCGGCTTATTGATTGGGTTCTACTCTTGGCTGTGAACCCTACTATAATGTTGGGGGCCACTCTGGATTGAGTCCTTTGACCCATGCATGTTATAGGGCCCAGTTTAAACCAGTCATCTTGGATTTATTGCTGAGTGTTGAAAACTTGTAATGACAGTTGTTTATCATCTGGTCTTTCAGGTTTTGAGCATGAGTAGATTGGGCGGAGCTGGTGCAGTGGCACCGCTGGTCACTGACATTCCATTATCATCAGTTGAGGTAATTAATCTGAAGAAATATGATTTTTCAAGATTTATTAGTTCTCTCTGGCTTAACTTATTAACGAGTCTGGTATTGATCAGGAAGAAGGAAGTGAAGGTGGAAGAAATCAACCAGCATGGGAGAAATGGTCAAACGATGGCACAGAAACACATGTGGCTAAGCTTATGGAAGAAAATGTTGGGGCTGCCATGCAGTTCCTACAATCAAAGGCTCTTTGCATCATGCCCATATCTCTGGCATCAGCGATATACCAGTCACAACCACCGGACACCTCCAGTATAGTGAAGCCAGAAACTAACCCTCCTTCATAGAACGCAGGCACGGGGGTTCACAATCCAACGGTCCCATCCAGGGCTCACCTAATACTGCTGGGACCCACAGGTTATTTGTCTGTTCCAATTCCCCCCATAATTTTAGTCATTGGCTCGCATCAAGTTGCAATCAAAGTCAGATGCCATAGCACTTTCTTTTTTAGCCTTTCTTTCAGCTTTTGCCAATAGAGGGTTCGATGTCAATGCCCAAGAAAATATAAGTGGACCCCACCATGTCTGATCAAATTTCAATTAAAGGGTAAGAAATTGTCAAAGTTCATTAATATCGATTTGCTTTTCTTTTTAGTATGAATGCGTGGGGGGTAGTGGAACATGATGGAAGCGCTTTTATAGTGGGGCTTAGTTTTTGTAGTGGGCTGTGGGACCTTAGTAAAAGGTTAGAGTGGTGTGTAACATATTTTTATTAATTAATGATGTAATTCTAGAGATTTTTAAATGCAGAGCTGAAATGGATAATGGCTACTTTAAGAATGCTTGGTGTCGCAAGTCCAGCAGAAAAATGATGGTGCTTTTTGTTTGTTTATGGTGTGCCTGAGTTGTTTATTCAAAAGTAATTACGCTTCTTTTCTCTATTCTTATGGATCATTATTGGGCGATAAACCATTAAAGGTGGAAGCACCAATAAGGGTGTGCCCCTCGCTCCCTCTCTCTACGCACCCACACTATTTTATACAATTATATCATTGTACGAGTCCTCCCTGGTCCAGTATTTACTATTTAAGTTTAGATATATTATATAAAAATTTGTAAAAGGTCGTTGATTGCAAGTCATGGGGCTTGGATGTAGTTGTGTGATTTTATTCCAACTCTCAAGTGATAAAGCTTTTCTGTCCACTTGCACGCACCGTATGGTATAGGTAAAGTTTCACTTGTATCTTTCCAAGAGAGGGAGTCCTCATTTAGGTAAGCTCCTCTCTTAATATTGTCAATATCAGATCTTTATATCCTATGGGTAGAGTTGCAATTTCGTCAGGCCAAATAAAGTTACACTTTCGGCATCTTTTGAAATTCAACAAAGCTTTGTTTTTCTTTTAAAATTTGATTATCGTTTGTGTTTGATGGTTTTGCATTTAAAAATAAAGCCGATGACTTTTCATTTGTGATTATCATTTGTGTTTGATGGTTTGGCATTTAAAAATAAAGCCGATGACTTTTCATTTGTGATCCGCAGGCCCAAGATTTATTGTTGTTGGGGTAAGAACCAATTAAACGCAGTTATGTTAGTGATATTATAACCAAGTGGTATGAAATGCTTTTCTGAGTGGTAGGTTGCAAGTTTAATCCCACTTTTAGTCTCATGTCCTTAGTGTCTGGCTTTCTAATATTTTTTTTTGTAAAAAATCTGTGCAGTAATTTTTAAAGAGGGAGAAGCATGGACTGTTGTAAACAGTAACCTTTTAAGGTAGAAAAAGAAAACAGTAAACTTTTTTCAACATTAACTTAATAACTCAGTCTCCTGTGAAAAATATGTCTATACTTCTATTAGTTGCCAAATTTTGGAAAACACGAGATTAAAATTAATATTGGCAAAGTCACGATGATGGGGTTTATCTTTTAGATTCTGTAATTAAAAGGGGTGCACGTAAGTCGAGTAACGTGTAGAAAAATCAGTACATTTATTTGCAACAAACCAATAGCCAAATTTAAACTTTTATTTTGGTCCTAAATATAAGACGTCAATTCATTTTGTCTCTCGTATTTATACATTTTTCTTCAAGATAGTCCTTCTAATAATGATAGTTATAACCACATATTTAATTAGCAAGGATATTTTAGAAAAGACAACACATGTATTACGAATAACTAACTGAACTTATTTTCTTGATCTTCTCAAATTAGTCAACTTGGTCTTATAATTAGGACCGGAGGTAGTACATAATTTTTCTCCAATGGTTTTTATAAATTATAGGGAAAATTTATCTATTTAATTGATCCTTATAATTTTACCAAGTTTATAATGCAATCCTCATATTTTATTTTGTCACGCCTCAATCCTCATACTTTTCTGTGTTACGTCCGTCCATCTTTATTTTTCAACAGGGAGAGAATTTGAGTCCCTCAAAACTCGTCTTATGTGACGCTGACTGTATTAAATTTGCTTAGTTGGCATTATAATCACTGCCACATTCTAACCTGTCGGAAAAGCATAAGAACAAAGTCCCGATGAGTTTTTTTTTTTTTAAATAAAAAGTCTCGATGCATTTTTTAATACAAGCTTCAATGCGTTACAGTATAAGGAAAGAATTGCTGGTCAAAAAACAAAGTATAAGGAAAGAATTACAAATTTAATAGAACGATAGGATCTAACAATTTTCCAATAATATGGGAAGAAGTAAAAGGTGCGGAGGAAACAACCCAAAATAGAAGGCCCAAAGAAATGGCCCAAGGGTCACTTCAATTTGTAGCCCAATATTGATGAGGCCTGCGTTTTTTTGCTTCGGGGCTCATTTGCTCCTCGCTGCTGCCGCGGTGCCGCCATATTTCGCGGTGCCCAGACATTTCATCCGTCGCATTCCTGATTTGAGCAGCAACGTCCTCTCCATTTCGCGCGCGTTTGCTTAAATAATCTGGTCAATGTCATGGCTGTGTTGGAACAAGCAATAGCGTCAACTAGCTTAAGGAACTTGCTCTTCACCCCCCAAAACCCTAGTTCAAGACTTACTATCCCTTCTGGGATCCAATGCTCAAACCATTCCCTGGCTTCTGTGCGTTCCATCTACTCTCGCTGCTGGAGGCAGTCCAAAACGAGGCGGAATGGCCGTTTGAAGTGCTCAATGGATGATTTCAAAGATGATTTCAAAGAGCAATCCTACGGCGATGACCACTACAATCAGGTCACGGTGGCCTACCCTAAGCCCTCCGAGATTCCTTGGAATAAAGAGCTTTGCAACTCCGTCAATCTCATAGGCGTTGTCGCCACTCCCATTGAAACTAAGCACTTTCCTTCGGGCAAAGTGACTGCTTGGACCCGCCTTGCCGTCAGGAAAAACGCCACCCAGACATCCTGGTATTTTATTTGCGTTTCACAGGACTTGGGCTTTGTTTCTTGTTGCTTCCTCTTTGTCCTTCAATTTTGGTACAATTTGACTTCGTTTTGGACTGCTAATCTCTGGCCAATCTCTTATTAAATGCTTTATTCCTTGGAATATAGGATTAATTTGACATTCTGGGATGAGCTGGCACATATTGCTTTTCAGCATTTAGAGAAAGGGCACCAAATTTATGTTTCTGGTCGTTTAGTTACAGATACAGTTGAAAGTGATGACGGGAAACAGAACACTTACTACAAGGTTTCGTAATTGCCAATATTTAATTTATTATTAATATTTATGGCCTTCCCACTAGCAGATCAGTGAGCCTTAGATCCTGTGCAGGTGGTCTGTCAGCAGCTGAATTTCATTGAAAGGAGCCCCTTATCATCCTCCTCATATGACCAGGAGCCTGATTCTATGATATCTGGCAAGTCTTGTACTTAATAGTCTGATTTCCACGACGTCTAGCAACTCTTGTATTTTTGATAAAGTGAAAGTATCTACTATTGTTCTGTTTATACATAACTTACGCCGCTTTCTGCTGGATGATTTCAGGTAGCAAAGGAAACTACGCTGCACTTAATACTGGCTCTGTAGAAGAATTATGGCAAGCATTTTTTGCTAATCCTGTGGAGTGGTGGGACAATCGGAAGAACAAGGTAGACCGATTATTAAAATTTTAACCTTGTGGATCAAGTGATTGTTTCACTTTTCAATTATCTCATGGCTACTGAATATTGCAACTTTTTTAGCTCACTTCTCCAGTGACACCTGCGAGGCTATACTTTCTCAATTTGCCTTACTTGATTTCCCCATTTTTACACCAAGGATCCTTCCATATTTGCTGAATATCCTATATAAGATGTTACGTCCTGGTTTTAATCCTTTCTGATAATTTGCAGAGGAATCCTAAGTATCCTGATTTTAAGCATAAAGATACAGGGGAAGCTCTCTGGGTAGAAGGCAGGTCCAATCCACCATGGGTCAAATCGCAACTGGCAATTCTTGATGCGAGGATGGGGTCCCTTACTAATCAACATGGCAATATATCTGCAAATATGGTGACCGTTGATGAATTATTGTCTTTCTAAGAGTACGTGTGCTAAATATTGATCATTAAACTTCAGCAACATTTTTGTTAGAGCGCTCAATAGATTGGGCCTACCAGGGCGGCTTAATCAACTTAGCAATTTGGTCTTGGGGTTTATCCTTATTTTAGGAAATTTTCAGTCCAAGTCCTATTTAACCCGACCTACTGACCACCAAATTAATGTACCAACTCATTAATATGTTGACTTGTTTGTATGTAATGTATGTGTGGTTTACATATATGTGATACGTGTTCATTTTAGTATATTTATGACTTGTTTTAAACATACGTTGTAATGATATGAAAATGGAAATTTAAGTATAGGGTCAAGATGCATCAAACACTCTGAAGTATTTTGTGGTACATTCAGCACAATAAAATATTTTTTGATGCATCTAACACTATAAAGTATTTTTTAGGTATATCCAACACCATGGAATATTTTTTATACATCTAGCGTTAACGTAGGAAAAAAAATATTTCGGGATGCTGGATACATGACAAATATTTTAAGATGTTGATGCACCTGAGAAAATATTTTAGGATGTTGGATACATCGTAACTCTGAGTATATAGCCCTAACATAACTCAGCCTCCTCTAATGCAACGTTCTGCCTTCCTTTACCTGATATTTGCTTAAGTCTCTCAGCGTCGCCTTGTTACCTCTGGCCTCCTTTTTGGCTTCTTGATTTTTCTCATAGGGGGTGTTTGGGAACCTCCATAAGCATTTTTTAACAATGTTTTCATGCAAATTAAGACAATTTTTTTTACATGTTTACTTCATGTACTGTAAAATCATTTTTAAAATCATGATTTTCATCCAAACACCCGATAACTTTTGTTTGATAAAAAAGAATACTCTAAGTGAAATTGATGGCAAAGGGAGCTAAATATAATGGATGTGGGGAAAGATGTATGCAATAGGGCACAGAAATAAAAACTAGGGAGAATTACAATGAGGTCCCAAGTAAGGAAAATAATTGAAAAACAAGTCTAGATGCTGTCATTCTCACTGTAGAACTTGTCATTATAGATTGTTGAGGTTGTTATTGGGACTTTTTGATAATTATTTTTTTTTGTGGGACTTGATTGTAATTCCCCCTAAAAACTAAACCCTATTACGTCATGCTTTTAAGTACAATAAAACATTCCAAAAGGGTGAAGGTTGAAGTATAGATTTAATCCATTCATTAATGTTAGAACAAATTGGAAGATTGAGTTTTCTTTTTTTTGGGTAGTACTTTGCAATGCAATTGTGACGCGCTTTGGTATTCTCTTTCAAACATCATTATTTTGCATGGTTTTTCACTTTTTCTTTAGGGGTGTATGTATTAACTTTTTAAAAGTAATTTTACAGAGTTTGAGATAAGCATGTGAAGCATTTTTTTTTTTAAGTGCTTCTAAAGGATCTCAAACACTTTTTTGTCAACATAAATTTTAGTGGGAATCCAATTTTGAGAGAAGTATTAAACTACTAAAGAGATCATTAAGATGGATAGAGAAATTAATGGATGTTAAGAGAAATAATTAACGAAGGGGTATCTATTATAATTAAATTAAACAATTTTCATACTAAAGTAATTTCAGAAAGTTGAAATAATTTTAATTAATTTAAAATTATTAATTAGTTTTAACTAACTTTCTTAATTGATGTGAATCCATAAAAAACGATTTATAAATAGCACTGTAAGCAGCAAGTACATCAGTAAAAAATGCTGCTGATAATGTGTGTTTGGATATTCTAAAAGGAAAATGACATTAAGGTCCCACAGAACCAAATATACAGCAAAAAGATCTCCTGAAATCTCATAATTCTTCTAAAGTCCCAAAGGGACTTGGCTGCAAACTTCAGAAAGTTAAAATGACTCTTTTGCCCTAGCATATCAGAAACAAAGACGCTGAGTGAGTTTCCTGCGCAATGAATCTGTTGTGATTGAGAGAGAAGACATGGAGAAAGAAGGAAGGAGCCATTGATGATGAAGTATCTTCCCTGTTACTATTAGTGAACTACAAAGAGCTTCCATTTGAATCTCCACAAATCATTAGGTTTGAAACTTTCTTTCCTCTCCTCTCCTACTTTGCTTGACATATTGATTGTGTTTGGGAATGGGAAATCAGAAAATCGTTTTTGCCTTTGATACTGCAAAGCTTTTGTTTTTGGTCTAGGATTTACAAGTTAATCAATGAAAAAGCTGTTTTTTTGGTTAGTGTGTATTGGTGATTTAAGTTGGGTTTGTAGGACGATTATGGGTGCTCTATTTTTGGGTATATTGTGGGTGGTTTTGCTCTGTTTTGACATTAGTTTAGTGGCAAATGAAGAAAAAGATGAAGGTTAGTGTAGGTAGAAACCCTTAGGACGAAATAGGATATTGTGTGGTCAATCAAGCCATGATAGTTGTCAATGCGTGTTGCGACAATTGTCAATATAGCTGCTTGACTTGTCAATGACAGTTGCGTGATTCTTGATGCAGGTTTATATTACTAATGGCGAGTATGTCTGGAAAGCACTTATTTTGCTTTGTTTACATAGGGAGAAAGTTTATAAATGATAGAGAAGATGACATGAAATATATGGGAGGTAGTGTAAGAACAACAAATATAAAGGAGGGAACAAGTTATGAAGAACTGAAGGAAATTATATTATCAATTGTTGGAAAAAAAAGTAATTCATTTCTTTTGAAATTCTCAGTTGTGTTTGATAAAAAAAAACATTTGTGGAGTTGGTAGATAATGATAGGGTTGAACATTTGATAAAATTCAATGAAAAAAGTAGTCATATGTATGTAGAAGAAAATGAAAATAAGGACCACATAGAAGCAACAAGGAATAACACAATGGAGGAGCAAGATGTGTAAGTTTAGTTTAATGAAACTATTATTATCATTTCTTAATATGTCAGTTGTTACTGTCTTGCTACCAACTTGTCAATGCATGCACCTTGACTTGTCATTTCTTGCAGGATTGATTAATTATTTGGAGGTGTCAATGGATTTTCTATGTCTCTACCTACCTTATTTGATGAGATTGGAGAGCCACCATCAATTCCTTATGCTGTTGAAATGATCCCAACACCTACACCACAAATAAATTTCACAAAATGGAAGGATTTGATTATTGAAGAGAATATTTTGTAAATGGGTGTGAAGGGAATTTTTTATAAATGGATACACACCAATAATTAGTTTCGTAATTACATGCAGCCTGTATTTTTTTTTTTTTTGGATGGGTTGTGAAATAGGTGTAGTTTCATGTATATGAAGGTGTAAATGAAAGTTGGTTATGAATTGACATATTAGATTCTGTTATCATTTTAGTTGTCATTACCTGCACCTGCATTGTTATTAGACACGTTATGACTTGTCAATCATTATAGTATGACTTGTCAATTAATTTGCTGACATAATTTGTCAAAATATGAATTTAAGTTATGTAACCTATTTTAGTATCATATGATATTTTTAATTATTCTATCGTATTATATTTTGATTATTGTCATATATAATCATTATTAATGAAGTGTTAATGGTGACACTGTGACTTGTCAACGGTGACACACTGACTTGTCAATGGTGGCACACTGTCCCTTGTCAATGGTCGCACTGTCCCTTGTTAATGGTTGCACTGTGACTTCTCAATGGTCGCACTATAACTTATCAATGGAGTACTGTGACTTGTTAATAAAGGCACTGTCCCTTGTCAATTGAACATAAATTTGAGCAACACTTTCTTCTTAATAATTATATTTTAATGTAAATATTACTTAACATTATAAATAAATGACACCTTCAGTTGTAAAAATTTTGAATATCAATTGTTAATATTCACACATTCATTTGTTATGAAATTCTTATATCACTTGTCATTAACTCCTGTTATATTACTTGTTATTTTGAATAACTCAAATTGTTTATTTATACACTGGGTGCTGTTGATCTATACACTCCCACTTGTCAATATCTCTGCACAGAATAATATTGGTAACATAATCCCTATAATATTAATATTACATAAATTTGTTGATATCAATAAAGATATTAAACATATATTATTACAAATGTAATAAAACCCAAAGAAATTGGTACTATAACATGTGATGAAAAAGGTAATAATATTATAAACATAATTTGATCAGTTTGTTACAAAATGACTTGTTGACCATTAAGCTATTACTACTCATTGCTAACACCTTTAGTTGTCAGTCATCTTACAACACATATCATGACCTAACAGAACAAAAAATTAATTGACTACTCTATCTCCTCTTCTTGCTCTTATTGTAGTCCGATAGCAACGACATCATTTCATCTCCATGTTCATTATTTGGATGGATAACCAACCACCACAAATAGCCAACCTTTAACTCTTGTAGTTCATTACTGAAGTATTGTGGTATTGTATATCCTGCATCATCACGAACAGTGCCTTCCCACTCTTGTAGCCAAGAGAGGACATGAACTCCACATGAATCATTGTCAAGGAAATTGAATATATAAGTACCATGCAATTGTTATTGTGAACAATAACAAACAACATAACACAATCAAACAACTACACTCAAGTATCATTCTGCACATAAACTTTAACCCATTTTACTTTATTCTCAATTTTGTCCTCATTGGAAAAAAATTCTGGCTTAATAGCACGCAGCATCAGGATAAGGAAAGCAATTCTCAAAAAAAGATCACATAATCAAAAAGCATCACTAACAACAAACATTCAGTGAAAGGGACAAACAGTGACAACTAAATCAGTATTCAGTGAGAAGGGACATTAAGTGACAAAACTCAATAAAAGTACCAAAATATATAAAATAATTGAGTTTGTCAGTCAAGCTTTGTTAGCATCTGTTTACATAGTTGCATTTAGACCAATAAGGGAAAAAGTGAAAAAAAAAAAAGAGAACATTAACTTAAGTATATGTCATGTGTCAACAGGAACTAAAAGGAACTTAAACGAACCATATTGCACAATATTTTTCAGTAAAAAAAGTAAGCATAATATCTACAAAGAAACAGGCATGGCTTGTTTATGATTTTGCCATTAATCACTATTGACGAAGCTTTAAAGATTAGTTTTCATCTTCTTTTCAGTGTTAAAAATCAGTTATCATTATTTCCTTCTAGGTGGGATAAAAAAAACACATTTAATAATAATTACAACAATAACAATATGTGTGTGTGTCTAAGTTACCTTAATTATCAACTAACGCCACTTATTCAATCTCCAATGCTGTTTAATTTCCTTTTTTTGTTCAAATGACATGAAATCTGCTTATTCCTTCCCACATATATATACTAATAACTTGATTTGATGACCAAGTATGCCTAAAGGTGGACTTTTATTTCTTCTCAACGGGCCAACAAAACAGCAGTTGTACATTTTGATTTTCCATTCAATTCGCACTTTGTGAGGATATTAAAGCACACACCTTTGTATCATGCTGTTACTCTTATCATTATTTCATAATTATAAAATCCAAAGACAAATGCAAAGGTCAAATAAGAAGACACCAATATAATGAATATATAAGCTTAATGCAAAGGTCATTTTCCTTGGAAAAAAATTGTCTTGTATATAGCACTGTGATATGTACATGAGAAATTAAACCAGCAATAATGGAGGCAAAAGTGCTCATGGATACAGGAAAAACCAAAATGGATCCACAATTCCACAAACATTAACATTTACCGATGAAGGAGAAGTGGTAATTTGCCAAGCCAAAATGAAAACATACCAGAAAGCTAACATTTCATACCTATTTTCACTGAAAATTTGCTTTTAAAAAACAGGCATCAATTCCCCCATTGCAAAATGAAACCACACCAGCAACCTAAGCTTTCATACACACCTTCATAGAACGTAAAATAGGCACTGAAAATGGTCTTTGAATGCTAACACGGAAACCACGCTAAGAATGGTTTTTGAACACGAACGTGAAAGCGGTGCTGAGAACAACGGAGAGGTTGAGAGTAAACGTCATGGCAAACAGAAGCTGAGAATGCAATATAAGCGGCAACGGTGGACAGTTCTGGAGTCTTTCACTTTCGACAAAACCTAGAGGAAATTTGGATGAAATTAAACATGTTTGGCAGGGATAATATAGTCTTTTCATGTTTTCACTTATTACAATAAGGTCCCTTTGGGACTTTTGAACAATTACTAAGTTTGAAGGGACTTTTTTGCTGTATTTTGTCTTACGTGGGACCTCAGTGCCATTTTTCCTATTCTAAATGTAGATTTTACACTTTGAAAAGTTGTCAGACCCACTTAAATTCAACAATTGAAGATGGAAAATAATGTCCAATAATAGCTATGAAAATAACTTATCAGGCATGCTTGTTATCAATTTGTCCAGCTAGACATTATTTTTCTTGCTCGATCTCATAATATTCATCGATGTCGCCAAATTTAGAAAGATGCGGACGCTTAAGAACATCATGCTGTGTATCAGAATATGTTCAGACTTCAGAGTGACATAGAGAGGGAAAGGAAGATTTTTTTTTTGGGGGGGGGGGGGTGAGGCAACTACGGAGTCTGAAATGGAGCTTTTTAGTTTACACTGCTCCCTCCACAATCAAATATGAGCATTAAGAGAAACCAGCCACATATATTAATAAGAACAACTTAGTTAAGTTTACTTATAATTTGACTTTTTTTTGTACTTATAATTTGATAATGAATTATTCTCTTAATTTGTTAGTTATATTTGATGAATACTTCCTCTAATCCTTATTACAAAGTGCTTTGACTATGTCATTGGAATCAACACGATATAGTTATAAGCTATTGACTTTGCCTAAAAATAAAATAAAATTCTAATTTTACTCATATTTAAATAAAAAAATTCAAATCCGCAATTTTACTTCTCCTCTCATGATTGATGACTTTAAATAAGAGCAACATTGAAAAAAGATTTAATTCATACCGCATGATTTATAATAAGGATCGAGGTGAGTATTCCATCTGTCATCATATTTATAAGAGAATTGTCGTATAATTAATGCATCTTTCCCATTTTAACCTTCATTTAAAAAAATTATGGCATATTCAAAATATTTAACCAACAAAACTAAATTTTATTCAATATTAAATATAATGATTTGTTTCTGATATTGGTTGGGGAAGGAGGGACGAGTCATAAAGAAATTAAATAATCATCATTGGCCAATGTTGGCGTCTGAAATGAAACGGATGCCGACGACAAGGGGTCATGACAACGTCAACGTGGGATGAATTCATGTGCATGCATGTATGTGTACGTACGTACGTGTTTGATTTGCAGAAACCCATGGAAACTGCTTTCGCAGCAGTTTTGTACTGTTCAAATTATAAAACTGGAATAACCATATACGATTCGATTTTCGCTTCCTAATTTTCTGCATATGGGCCAAATGGTGACCTGTTTATTTCAGCAAAGAGATTTAATTCGACTGATTCTGCTGCTTTATAGTGGTGGCCTGTATGTATCATTAATGAATAATATTGTTGAGAGAAACACGCAAACCAAACTCTATGTAGTTTTTGTGCATAATTATTAACACAACTTGGGAAGATATGGTTGATCTGGAATGTAGATAACGTGCGGACGTAGGACCAGCGATGAATATATGAATGGGTCAGAGTCCTACAGCACAAAACTAGTTGTTCGGATAAGGATTCATGCATTTAGATATGTAGCTTCGTCTTGTTGTTTAGATTTGAACAGTTTGAGGGCACATATGTCCATGCCCTCCCAGCTGTGTAAGACCCCATGCCATGCCACTGTTATGGAGTATAAGGGCAGGGCAGTGTCCCACCATTACACACTCTCTCTCTCTCTCTCTCTCTCTCTCTCTCTAACCCCAAAAAGTTGATGTTACGTGCTCATACTGGCTCCATAATATCATTAAAGAGAAGGGCTCCTTCTATCACCATTCTTTTTCTTCTAATCCGTCTTTGTTATTTCATTAGGCCATTCTTCCTGTCTTTTTCGTTGGCTAATTTGTTGACTAATCAATGCCTCATTTTAGGCGGTACAGTCCCCTATATGCCTACTTCTAAATTAATATGAGGCAGGAAATGGAGTTTGCTCGGATAGGTTATTTTTGTTTTTATTTGCAATTGACTAATAATTGCCTCTTGAATTGATCAATATAAAAACATCCATATATATTATCATTCAAGATCTTGCATAGGCAAAGAAATTCAGATGGCAATGTACACATATATGCAACACAAACAAAAATTTTGCTTGAACAAAAGCATTGTGTTCGAATACTTTGATCGGATGCAGATATTTGGAAAAGTTATCCAACTGATAAGCTACTTGGCTAAAATTTTGTATGACCAACAATATGCTAGATATGGTGGTAAATGTTCGGGTTTAAAATTAAAGACAACAAGAACATAAAGTAGAGGTAACTAAGACAATGATGGTGAGATGGATAGAAAAGATAAGATTCATGGCGAATATATGTGAAGAAGAGCTGGAATAGCATTTATTAAAGAGAAAATGATAGAAAAATTATTAAAATGGTTGATTATGTGCAAAGAAGGTCATTATTAGATATATCAGTAAAGAGGATATATCAAGCAGTTTTGAATCCTCTAAAGAAGTTAGAGGAAATCTAAAAAAATTAGAAAAATTACAATCAAGTTCCGCAAAAAAGAAATAATTACTAAAAGGTCTCAATAACAATATCAACAATCTATAATAATAAGTCATATAGTGAGAATGACAACCTCTAGATTTGTTTTTTAATTGTTTTCCTTACTTAGGACTTCATTGTAATTCTCCCTAAAAAAATTCAATGAAATTATTGAACAGATTTTAGACCAACAATTTACTCAATAATTTGACTGTTAATAGAACACAATAATCTTTTTTTTTTTGTTTTTGTTTTATTTAACTTGGTAAAGCTCTTAAAAGTCAAAGAGATATGATATATATGGCTCCGTAAGAGAGCAAGATAAATAGAATATATCAGCATATGATTTAAAATCAGTTTTATAAATTTACGGAAAACCTGTATGATTGCTACTAGATAACCCAGTTAAAAAAAAATGGAATAATTTTTTTCAGAGAAATATATACACGAAACTTTCGTGTATACATGTAAATTTAGGGGGTTGAATGTGCGAATATGTTCTTGATGCTGATCCCTATCGAATTTACGTAAACATCTCAAGTTTGCCAGAAGGAGGGAATCAAACTTAAAAGATGGAAGACTGTTTTAAGTCCGATCAAAAGTTGAGGATCTTGAAGCTGATTGAAAGAAGGCCTTTCTCCTTATTTGTGTTGTGAGATCCAAATAAAGTGGTCGAATTTTAAATTGCCATACATCATTTCTCATTTACATAGAGCTATGAATGAATGATATCTCAAATCTTCTCCTCAATTCTGAATTTAAATCTTTGTATGCAAAACTTGTTTTATTTTCACATTAAGTCATTGGATCAATATCAGAGAAACAAAGGAAGCGCAATTGATCTATCTCCTCTCGTATTATAATGATAATTTGATATATATATATATATAGTATGACTTACATGAACAAAAATCTAGGACAAAATGAGAAATATACTATGTCGTCTGTACAATTAAAAATAGCAATTGCTGTTTTTTTCCCCCCCTCTTTCTTCCTTCTTGTCTGTGTTTGTGGCCTCTTTTGAGACGAAACTAGAAAGTGTTTGCTCGTCTTGTTTCCCATCGATGGTCGCGTAGGTGTGTCATAAACTACCACCCAATCCCTTAGCCTCCGATCCTTTCATGATTCTAAGCCTCTTGCAAGATGACATGAACATACTGCAATACACCAGAAACAGCTCCATGAGATGATGAAAATACAAGACATCTGAAGCCTAAAGGGCAGATCTCAAAAGAACAGATCAAATCAGATCGGAAAACTTACTTCCATGGAACATCTCCAACCAGCATCCAGTCGCCATCCTTGTCTTCATAAGTAGGAGCGTATTCAGATCCGTTGTAGCCTTCCCTTTCTGAGTATTCACCTGTACCATATCAGATTAACCCAAAATCATTAGTAAGACATCCTCCTGCTTGAGATCTCAGAAGAATTAACTGATGATGTAGAGAAAGAATAATTCATACCAAAAGTGCACTTGAACATGTTCTGCAAAGCCTTGAGGAGCTGTGGGTAGCTGTTGTAAACCTTGAGATCGATCTTCCTCAGATAAGGAGCACCGTCCATGCTCACTTTCACATACATATTTCCAGCCCCATCGCCCTCCTGCGATCCCTTCTTTTGGTGAACGCAATTCTTCCTGTAAGATCGAATGGGTGGCCATCCCACTACTTGTACCCTGCACCATCAATTTTATTTTGTTACCCCTTAGTTCTATATTTATATGTATAAATCCAACCCTGCCTATTCATATAATATAGCTTTGAATAATTCTGATTAAACATATCATCACTTACTTTGCTGGTGGGGCGTTATCTTTATCATCAGAGCTGTTACAGGCGTTGTTCTGGGTTACTGATGACTGCTCGTCCTCGCTTGATTCACGCCAAGTCCTCTTGTTGCTCCTGACGCTGCATGAACGTTTATCTTCCTCATCCCTTCCGGGCAATCCCAACCTTAGCTCTGTGTCCTTCAGATTCATGAGCTCACCGTCAAAATTCATCCCCATAATTTCTTGACCACCTACGTCTCAGCACCTGAACTTGGTGTCTATATATCTATCCAAAATTCAAACTATGTTTCGATTCTAACTTCTGAGAGAGATCCGTGTAGAGAGATGTTGATCGCCGGGCGCTTGACGAGATGCAGAGCTGTCTGAGAGGCCCGTGAGTTTTATAGCGATATGGGCGAGGGACAATATCGAGCTCACATGTTCTCTCGGTTGGACGGAAAGCGAAAGCAAAAAGCCCACCTGCTGCTGGCACACGCGACACCTAACCGGCCAACCAGATGTGGACAGCGTAGAGAGGGTCAACCGCACGTAAGGGGAAGCGCGTGACGGGGAGATAGAGAGGACAGATATGGGTGTCGGTCAAGGGAGGGACATGAAAGAGGAGGCGGTCGAAGGAAGAGGGGACAAGGAGAGACCGAAGGGGTAATGATGAAGGGGGAAGGGTGGGGACCACAAATTGGAGGGCTGAGATTTGGGAGGTGGAGGGAATGGGGGAGCGTTGGATGCGGACAGGGACAAGGGCATGTGAGGTGGGGGAGGCGGGACCCACGTGAGTGTCGTTGATTGGACGGACAAGACCATGTGGGAGGATGTTGTTTGTGACACAATTCCAATGTGGTCTGTGGCCACATCGCATGTGGGATACCATGTGATCTGGTCAGCCAATCCCTCCCCTTCATTCCCTCTCTTCCTTTTCTCTTCTCTCCTTTTTTTTTTTTTTTTTTAATATTCACTATTCCCCTTCCTGCCTACCTTTTCTCGCCAACACCCTGCCTACCTTTCGTACATTTATTAGGAATATATCGAAAACAAAATGCTAATTATTTATATCTCAGATTCTATTATAGTATTTCATTTGTAAATAGTAATGAGAAATTGATAACCCCTTAAAATTTTATTCCAGAATTTTATAAAAGGCTTAAATATTTCGGCTCATTGTATTCGACTTGCTAATGGGGGGATACGTGTAAGATTTTCCGAAAACGTACATGACCATAGATGCAGCAAGAAATACGGCGGTTGGGTAATGAATAAATGACGTGCCACAAGGCAAGGAACTAAAGACTGTTCATCTTTATAAAATAAATAAGCTGTGGGCTCAAATATAAAATAGCAAAGAAAGGAATTAGAATTTGTTTGTTGGATTAAATATATATAGATGAAGCACCGAAAGTGAGAGATAGTGAAGCAGAAATATATACAAGTCCGCACCAGTGTGTTAATAAGAAAGCTTTTTTAATTTCTCAGGCAGCTCATTGTGAGGTAACAAATATGATGACAAGATCAAGATCATAAAGAACCACAAAAGCACTCTATTCTTAAGCCAGCTGCTCGCTTCTCTTCTACATGAGATTTGTATAAAGAGGGCCTATATGAAGAACTCGTATTAGTTTATATATATATATATGAAGGTAAAAAGGAAGGCAGAAGGTAAAGGAAAAGAGAGGGGAGAAGAGAAAGGTCAATTTAGGAAAGGGAAAGGAGGGGGGCACACGTGTGAAGGAGAAGAAAGTGATGGTGAAAGGTGGGGCAAAGAGCCACACGTGGGTGAGATATACATATATATATATATATATATATCATCATCATCAGTTACAGGTTTAAACTTGAAAGAAGGCAGGCGCATCGATGTGGATGGGTAGGCCCAAATAAATGAAATAATTCTGCACTGATGAGGAATGAAGAGTAGTTTTGGTCCCTGGCTGGCTATTCCAGCACGACCCCACCATCCTGCAGATGCCTAATCTCATCTCCAGTCTAACCAAATACTATTCATTACTTTTGGCCATTCCTCCTCCTCAGCTTTCTTCCACAGCATCTCCATTCCCACGTCATAATCAACATGCAACCTTTAATTTTTACTCATCTTCAACCTTTGTTATCTTCCCCCTCATCATCTCATTACTAGCTACAAAAATATGGGATGTAATGTTGTTATTGCATTGACCATCCCTAAGGAAAAATATGCATGGTAATAAGTTTTGTGATGTTGGATTCCATGTAGATATTGTAAAGGAGTGTTAAGTTGTAATTAGAGCTACAAGAATGAGTCATCCTGATAGGAATCTGCTTCATTTCTTATTCACTCAAAATAAAAATTCTCTCATGTACGTACCAGTCAACGTCTTTACTGTATTGTCATTTTTCATGGGGTATATTTTGATCAGAAAGTGCTGATCTCTAACAATTTTGAATTCTTCCATGTAACTTCTTAATCTGTTGCTATATAAAATATAATTAACCAGTGCCGTGAGAAAGCCGATAGCTTCCCCAAGTTAACTTAGAATCAGAGTAATAGTGAACGAAGGATATATAGTACAGTGGTTTTGACTCAAGAATATATCCATCGATTGTTAATATAAAATTTAAAGTCAGGATCCGAAAATAATCAAAGCTCTCAACAACACATCTACATACAGTGCCCTGGCTAGCCATTAGCTCGATCTTGACTTTGACTGCATATATAGTTCATACTCTTTCTTGCAAGCGTTGGTGGGGTTTTGAAGTCAGATTTTGGGTCAAAACCGACAAGATTTGAAAAAAGTTGGCCAGCTTCTGATACAAGTTAACCACTAAAACTTGACCAGCCTATGCCTATATTCACACACTCGCATTGACAAAGAAACGAAAAACGGCATCATCAGCTATACAATAATTTAACATCAACAATATTATAGATACAATGTCCTTAGCTTGACGGTTCTTGCAAGCCAATATAATGGATTGAGTTGTCACCCATTAATTTCCTACACTGGATCCCGTGCACGCATTATTGCCTTGCATGAACAATGAACTGTCCTAGTCTCGGTGTTCCGCGGAATGCCATAACTAAATTCAAAACCTACAAGGAGCGATCCCTACCACTGAAGACATCTCGTTCTCGTTTAGAGTCATCACTGAATCTAACTGCATGTATTAGGACCGGCCGGCACACAGAGTCTGCTAGATTGAAGACTACGTTCATTGTTTTCTTCTTTCAAAGTACATCTGCATCTATCCCTATCTATCTATCTATCTATCTATATATATATATATATTATACATAGTGGAATCTAATAAAAATTCGGCCAACTTTTCTCTGTTTTTTTCCATTGCGAATAACATATAATTATCGAGCCATAAGTTATATATATATATATATATATTTTCCATTGTTGCAGAAGTCAAATGGAAGCTTGCTGGTTCATGAAGATATAGTTGCCAGGTTTGATAATTGGCAATAATAAGTGACTGTATGTGTCTAAGTTGCCAAATATGAGAGAGTTAGGCGTGTGATATAATGAGTATAGCGTACAAAACGAACCCGACTTCATAAAACAAAGTCGACTCAGAGCATGTGCTCAACTGACACAAAACTGAATGCAGAAACATATACTGACAAATTTAAAAATCCGTGGAAATTATGGAGCCTCGCGAACTTCGAGGATGATGTAATAATGGAAAGATCCAAAGGAAACCTTAATCGATGTGCGAGCATTTCAGGCAAGAACCGTATCGAACTTGCACTGTATTGAGCCCCATGAAAACCGCAGTAGGATCCCATAAGAAAGAAAAAAAAAAGCTTCAAGATCCAAGAAAAAGTGACACAACTTTTAAAGCATTAGAAATATAAAAAAAATAACAAACTTGTCAACGGGCTGAGAAAATACAGCCTTGGATCGTGTCTGCGATAACATTTTGTTGACCACTTTTTCTTGTATAAGTTGTCTTTTTCAATTGCCTTCTGGGACTAAACCAACCCTTCTGCCCTCAACATCGTCGCTTGGTTTAAGACACAGCTACGGGTTAACCACCGTCCGTGAGTAATAAACTAGCAATATCTCTGATCCATAATCATTGAACAATTAAAGAAAATAAAAATAATATCTATAGAACAATTCTAGTACGATGTGTCTCTCTCTTCCCACCCACAAATCTGAGTCCTCCCCAGAAACCGACCTTCCCACTATCATTCAGTTAGACATGGTGGTGCAGAAATCGCAGATTCACTTAACCTTACTACTGAAATTGCTGGAGTGGATGGATATGTTCGTTGTAAGTGGAGGGCGATGATCTCAAGGCATTAAGTTCAGAGCCCTTAAAGAGGGAACATAAAAGGGTTTTGAAGTTAATGAATTATAACTAATTAAATTTAAGAAATGATTTTGGGCTTAATATATTTCGGAATGCAGAGAAAAAGAAAGAAGAAAGGGAAGGGGTGGGGTGCCCTGCAGCGGCGCACATGGGAAAGGGTTTGACATGCATAGAACAAATCACATGTCCTCTTTTAGTGGGGCCCTATATCACTTACCCAAATGGATCTTACCACATGCCATTGTATGTCTCTTACCCTTTGGGTCCCACTTGCTTCCCCTCCTGTCATTCTGATCAATTCTCATTTTCCATTTATAGGATGTAGTGAAATCAGCTCCCATCCCATACCATTTCCTGTACTAGTTTGCAGTTTAGTCAGCAGTAGAATCTTGTGCTTTCAATTCCCACAAAACTCTTCTTTGCCACATATTTGCACTCAAATGTATACATTGTTTACCAAAATATTCATTTTTTCATTCATATGGAAGGTTAATATAGTATTATTATTTTCATTTACTAAAAAAATAACTCTAATAAAACCAAATATCATAAGAGATAGAGTATAAGAATCTGCACATACTACTTCCGATCAATAATATAACATCCACTTTGTGATTTGCACTACAAAGTAGATTTTATATTAGGGACAAGAAATAGTATATAAGTAAATTATGTCTGAGAAATTCGAACACTAGCTGATTATATTTTTGCTTTATATATCAACCCAGGGAAGTCGATGGAGTCTCTAAATTTCCTTGAACTTTATACGTGAATAAGGATCACAGAATCATTAACCAAGTATTATAACTAGACAAAAAAACCGACGTGCAATCTTTAATTTTTCATTCATTCTTCTCACGGCCCAGTTTGGTTGGGTTTAGATAGATAGATATGTTTGAAGAGAGAAATATGCATTTTGGAAA